ACTTAAATGTTGTATCCAAACTTACCATTACCTTAAAACTATCGTACTTACACGTTGTGTTTAAATTTACTACTAGCTTCATACTGTTATTCTTAGCAGAATATACACGTTTTTCATTTCAACTCTTGAGTAGGAATTATTCCTTATACTGAAACTTGTGGCCAGAGTTCTTGATATATCCTTTTCAGAAATAATTATCAAGCTGAACCCCAGAAACTCTGCAGGTCAGTTTGAAGGACTCCCCAGGTTTCACCAGTCCTGGACCAGACTCAATTATCTGTGGAGTGGAGCGGATGCCTATAAAAGAATGCAGAAATTGTGTCATAATCGGGAATCTCTCAGCCTTAGGTTCAACATTTTTGTTTTTATTCCAAAGAATAAATCCTCACCAGGGGAGATGCTTAGGACAATGAGGAAAAGCAAAATGAAACTCATCTCCCCTCCCTCCCTCCCTCCCTCCCTTCCTTCTTCCCTCCCTTCCTCTCTCTCTCTCTCTCTCTCTCTTTCTCTCTCTGTCTCTGTCTCTACTTTAAATTTAGTAAGGAGCGAATGGGACTCAGCCAGGCAATGGAGCCACACTGGACAATGCTATTTAAACAGAAGGAGGGTGGTAGGGTGATTTGCCTGGAGGGCGTTCTGTTGTGTCTGGTCCTGCATTTAAGAAGCAAAGAGGAGAAAAGGAGACTCAGTTGCAGGAATGACTCCAAGCAATGGTTGGGGGGGGGGCATCTCCCCAAATACTGCCTTTTACTGAATTGCTCTTCCACCTTTCATTCATGCCGTACTTTCCTCACTTAAGTAGGTTCTTTTTTGAATATATGAAGCCTCCTAGTTCTTTTAGGGTCCTAGGAAAATTGCCTAGTAAGTCGATCTAGCTTAGTATTACTTATATTGGCTGGCAGCAGCTGTCCAAAGTTTGTAACTGGGGAGAGGACCTTTTGCTGATGCTTTTTGCTTGCGATTTGCTGTGGCCTCTTTGAAGGAGGCAAATATGCAGATCCCTAGAATGTAGAGGGAGAGAGAGTAAAGTGCTCATAAAAAAAAACACCATTTATTTGTGAAATGTATTAAACTAGGGAAATGTGTGTATTGGGCAATATCACATACAAAAATAAAGATGTGGCTGTCATGGAGCACAGCTAGAGGGATAACTCATCCTCTGAATATTCAGTGGAGAATAGTTATGTGTAAAAGATGGGTCAGCCATGCAAAAAATAAAGGCCCGATAAACCAATTTATCTCTCTCCCCCGCACACTAAAGTTACCAGATTTTTTCAGTGAATCCGGGAATACTTTTCAATTTCCTATTAAACAGATGGATTTTGTCAGGGGGCTGATTTGTAAATCATGGGATTGTCCCCAAGAGCTTTCCCTGTGAAAACCTGCTCTTTACCCCTGAGTCAGAGCAAATGACAAACCCTGAGAAACCCACATTGCTTTTTGTTGTGTACCTGCTTTAAATAATGGGTTTTCATTTGGTTCAAAAAAGATAGCTTTGAAGTGTGGACCTGTGCTTGGAAAGTGTGGGGTAAGTGTGGCTAAGCCCTGGCTAAGCTCTCCAAGGTTTTAGGCAGGAATTCCTTCCCAGCCCTACAGCGCAGGTCAGCTGGAGGGGCTGTCCAGGCTTCACTGCTCCCAGGCCAGACTGGGTCAGATGCACACTGCATAAGACACCTGAACAAAGCGAGAGAAATTAGTACCACTCCGTGGAGTCTCTCTGAGTTGGCTTCATAGGATTGCATCCTAAGACATCAGTTAATAAAGTTTAGGGAAGGGAAGTCCTCCAATCTCTTCTCCCTTCTTGATCTCTGAAATGCATCATTGGAAGGGAAGGCTTTTGCTCAACGTTGGACTGGGCATTGCGGTCTGCTGAAAGATGGGGAATTACTTGGATCCTTGCCAGATATTGGGCAATCCCCCCCCCCGAACTCCCTTGCATGATATCACCCATTGTCCATCCTCCCATCCCCAATACTCTAGGGATGGCTTATTTTTTGTTGGTGAAAGAAATTTAATGTCACCATGAATTTTCCTGAAGTTAGTTCATTTTAGGCTCCAAATGTTTGGACCCAATTTTGTCCAATGTGTAATTGATCCAGTATAAAATCCTCACCTGGGCAGATACTCAGTAAAAGGAGAAGAAACATCAGAGATCTCATTTCTTTCTCTACTCACTCACTCACTCACTCACTCACTCACTCACTCCTCTCTCTTTCTGAATGAATGGAAGGCTGTGGAGCAAGACTGAAGGGCTGTATTTAAAGAGGAGGAACCCGCCCGGCAGATTTGTTTAAAGTGAGCAGAGTGTATGAAACACGGAGGATAAAAGGAGACTTTGCTCCTTAGATGGCAACAACACGATTTTAAAGCTGGGGTTTAAAGTTATCGGGCTGTGGGTGTGATGTTCTGAAGGTGTGGGAAAATGTATACCTGTTGGTGGGTTAAAATATTTTATTGATTGCAGGGCTGTTTGACCATCATTAAAATACAAAATCCAATTAATAATACAATGTGCAAAACATCATTTTTTTGAAAGCAGATGTAAATAGAAAGACTCAGTTTCTGAATGACCTGTACAAATAAGAATGTTTCAGCCTGGTGCCCCAAATACAACAATATTGGGCTGCCTCTTTGGAAATGCCCCTCTGGAGGAGACTGTTAGGTTGATTTTCAGGCAAGGCGTATATGCTTGGGAGATATGCTTGGGAAGCTGACTGCCTATTTGCTTCTGAGCCCAAATCAAGGTGCTCACAGTCAAAGAGGTGGTATGCCTCTCAACACTAGTTCCTGGAAATCAGAAGTGGTGTGTGTGTGTGTGTGTTCTTGTGCTCAAATCCTGCTTGTGGGCTTTCCATAGGCATATTGATGGCCATTGTGAAAACAGGATATAGGACTATCAGCAAAGGGGTCCCTCACTTCCCTGGAGAATGCAGTCTCTATGGCAGCCCCTAAGTTATGGAATTCCCTCTCAATAGAGGTGCTTCTGCCTTCTTCACCATTTAGCTTTTGCAGATGTTGAAGACGGACCTATTTTCTCTGGCCTTTGACACCAGAGATGAGGGTTTTCAGGGCCCACCTTATACCTCCGATTGTGATTGTAATTGGTTTTTACTGTTTTTAATTTAATTTAATTTTAAAATGGTTGTAATGGTGATGATAGTTTGAAGAGGATAAGCAGAAAGTGCTCACAATTTCAAAGCAGACCTTGCCATCAGTAACAGGAGGGTAAATCTGCTTGATTCAGTCACCTCCATTACTCATTTGTTCCAAACTCAAGTTCCATTTTCCTCATTTCTGCATCAGTCTGATATACGTATGTTTCTGTGTGTTTACAAAAATTCATGTGCATATTTTGTGTGAAATCTCCCTAACATAATGCATTGCCGTATGTCATCTTTACCAACATTTGCATTTTGTACACACTTTTTCCAGATATATGGAGTTCCATGACCTTTCTTTTAAATTGGAGAACTGCAATGCAAAATTGGGAGAAATGCAAATTTCAAAGTGTTGCTGTGTCTCAGATTGCATCGTGTTTCAAGAAGTGCAAATAATGTTGATTTGTATCAAAATACAAACTGAACCACATTTCTGCCTCATCCCTATCTGCAGGACACAGCCCTCTGTTCATATGAAATGCTGCCACTTACTGGTCTATAACTGGATGCACAATGCTTTGAGCTGAATAAAAGGATCCAATTGTTCAGAGTAATCACATTTTTTCTTCCACTTTCACAGTAAGCACAAGCCTATCAGGTTTCTAAATGAGCCTTGGGAGACTCAATTTTGTATTTCCCTTTTTATACAAGAAGGGTCGGAAGAGAGACTGGGAGGGGAGTAGCTGGGGTGAATCCTGAGGGCCACCTAGAGAGGCATGGAGGGCCACATTTAGCTCCTGGGTCTGAGGTTCCCCACCCCTGCCTTAATGGGACTCTGGTATAATTGCCTCCAAAAACCAAGAAGGCAAGACTTCAAAGCATTCCAAGGTAAATGTGTTTCTGTATTTGGGAAGAGAGAGAGGCAACATAGGTATGGCATCCTTTAAAAGGTAAAGGTACCCCTGCCCGTACGGGCCAGTCTTGACAGACTCTAGGGTTGTGCGCTCATCTCACTCTATAGGCCGGGAGCCAGCGCTGTCCTCAGACACTTCCGGGTCACGTGGCCAGCGTGATGAAGCTACTCTGGTGAGCCAGAGCACACGGAACGCCGTTTACCTTCCCACTAGTAAGTGGTCCCTATTTATCTACTTGCACACGGGGGTGCTTTCGAACTGCTAGGTTGGCAGGCGCTGGGACCGAGCAACGGGAGCGCACCCCGCCGTGGGGATTCGAACCGCCGACCATGCGATCGGCAAGTCCTAGGTGCTGAGGTTTTACCCACAGCGCCACCCGCGTCCCTTTTTTTGTTTTTGTTTTGATGGCATCCTTTGTTGGAACCCAAACATAGCAGTCCCAATAACTAAGGGAATTGATAGCCCATCAGATCTGGGAAGTTCAGAGGTACTGGACTGATCTGGTACCCAGCTGGGAGAGCACCATTTCCCTCCCAACTCTGCCTTAATGATTCCCTCTCTCTGAGTAGCACACACTAGAGGTTCCATCCCTTATGGTCACTCTGCAACCAGTTATGGAAGCCCTTTACTCTGCACAGCTGTTCACTGGTACCAGTGATGCAAAGCAGTTTGTCAGCCTGTGTGTTGGGGAAAGAACTGCCTTCCCACCCCAGACAGTAGAAGGACTCACGATTTCTGATTGGAGAATGATGCTGAGTGCAACACTTCTCTCATAATAGGCAGTTCCTCTTCTCTCCCTGTATGTGAATTTGAACCATACCTGAGTAATGAAACCTGAGACTATGTTATGGGAATAAGCAAGTTTTCAATGGCTTTTGTGGAACTCTATGGGACAATGAATGTGTCCTCCATCAACCTTCTTTGCCTGCCATAGTGATGGAATATATTGTGTAGGTTTATGGATGGACGCTTCATTGCTTTACTTCGCTGTGTCTCGTGCACAAAAATACACAGCGGTGTCTGCAGCTGTCGGGGAATTCAGCTGAAGATACACTTCATTTCTGGAGGTGTCCCTGGTGATAGAAATCCGACTACTGAATGCTGGGTTATAATAGGTGGTTCCTCCAGCTGCAGAGCTCCGAATAGCACCAATAAACTCCAGGCCTTTCCCTGGAGGCTGTCGGTTCCAGACCCAGTTATAATTACTGACTTGGAAACCAGAGATAGTGCAGGTCAGTTTGAAGGACTCACCTGGCTTCACCACTCCTGGGCCAGTCTCGATTAGCTGTGGACTGGAAAGGATGCCTGCAAAAAAGAAAGGGCAGATGATAGACTTCTCATATGACCTCGCTTTGGGTTGAATTCAATATTTTTTGTTTTTACACTAAGCATAAATGCTCACCAGGTGAGGCGCTTAGGAGAATGAGCAAAAGGGACAAAGATCTCATATTTCCACCCTTAATCACTCAGTCACTTTGTTTATTAGAAACAGGGTGTATGAGTCTCAGTCAGGTCATCAAGCATCATTGAATGGCACTCTTCAAAAAGGAGGAGTTTGCTTGGCATATTTGCATAATGGGAAGTCCATCCAATTCTGTTCTGCATTTAAGGATCAGAAGCTAAAAGGAGGAGCAGTTGACAAGGTTGCCAGATGAATAAACTATAAAGTAGTAGTATTAGTAGTGATATTTATATCCTTCCTTTCCCCAGACTGGGACTCAAAGCAGCTTCCACAAAACAAATAAAATACGAAAAGCTAAAAACTCAAAGCAGCTTCCACAGAACAAAGCAAAGCAAATAAAATGCAAAAAGCTGAAAACTTATATAAAAGATAATACATAAAAAGTCATCAAACTCTGATAGAACTAAAGCAGCATAAAAACAACATAGGCATTTAGAAAACCACACATTGAAGTTAAGCAAAAGTCTGAAACTCTCAGATCTCATAGTTGCTTCCTGTAAAACAGTCCCTTGAACTACTACGGATTGACACTTATTGATGTAAAATGGTCGACAAAATTGTCAGCAAATTAATATACCATTAGATTCAAAGTAACTTATTAACCTATCTGAAAGGAGTAGACTCTAAGGGTAAAGGAAAAAAATATATGGTTCTACATCTCCTGTATGATGTAGGATTCTTTGGAGTGGTGATACCTGAAACTGAGTTTGCTCTGATAAAAGGGAGAAGTGTCTTTATTTATCATTCTGTGCTGCTCTGCTGCCGGTTCGCTAGAGCAGCTTCGTCACGCTGGCCACGTGACCCGGAAGTGTCTGCGGACAGCGCTGGCTCCCGGCCTCTAGAGTGAGATGAGCGCACAACGCTAGAGTCTGTGAAGACTGGCCCGTACGGGAAGGGGTACCTTTACCTTTATAGTAGCAAACTCAGGTGGCGGTGAGCCCTGTCATCCTGAAGGAGAAATAGGGAAATCCAAAAATAAGGTATTGGCCTGTATGTACTTGGGAGATTCTTTAGATAAACAGAAGTGTGGACGTTTGTAAAATAATAATAATAAAAAGAACCAAAACATGGAGCTGTGAGGCTTGCCTCTAGTATGTATGCTAGTGTGTGAGTTAGAAATTTATTTCTCCCCAGGAGAGGGCTCCCAAGTCCTGAAAGGAGAATGACTGACTGTAGCACCTGATCATATCCTCCAAGTATCCCAGTTTTCCAGGGACAGTCCTGAAATTACAGGTGCCATCCTGGTTTCTGATTTGATCCCAGACTGTCCCACTTTTCCTTTTTTCCTCCCCTAAATGTTTTGGAGAACAATTAAATGTGGTATGTTTATGTAGGTGCAAAAAAAGAGTCCTGCTTAGATGGAAAATAAAATCCCTGGACTAAATGAAGGAAATGGTGAAGCTGCCATGCAAAGTCCATTTTGAATGAAAACGTCACCAAGTATCAGGAAGAAGTTCCCTGACATAGAATAAGATGTCTCCATCTGAGAAATGATGGAGGCTGTGACTTCATTGCAGATCTTCTGTTTCCCCCCTGCTCCTCTTGGAGACCCCCGTATTGAGTCACAAGTGTGGGCAGTCACCATTCCGTCGTTTGATAGCAACACTGAATTCACTCCCTCAAGAGGCAGTGATGGCTAACAGTTTGCATGGCTAGGCCATCATCTGTCAGACAGCAATGTTCAAGGCCATGTTAAGGGGGAATGTACATATTTTGTCTGGGATGAAGCAGGATCTGTTTTTCTCAGCAAAGTGTTACTCAAGAAGTATCAGAAGGAAACACTTCCTCCTTTTTGTACAGGCCTCTGCTTCAGTCTGTCCCACTGTGCCTGTTGCACAGTAATACATGGCTGTGTCTGCAGCTGTCACAGAGCTCAGTCTCAGAAAGTACTTGGTTTGGGAAGAATCCACAGAGATGGTGATTCGGTTTTGGAATGATACAGCGTAGTACGATCTTGCAGTCCAGCCTCCCATCCATTCGAGCCCTTTCCCAGGGCTCTGTCGTACCCAGTGCCACCAATAGCTGCTTGTCACAGAGCGCCCAGTGACCGTACAGGTCAGCTCGAGGGTCTCTCCTGGTCTCACTGTTCCTGGTTCAGATTCCTTCAATGTGACCTGGGAGAAAACACCTGAAGGGATTTGGGGGGAGGGAAAGAAAAGGAAAACCAGAGTTAGGCAGTAGGCCCAGCAAGAACTTTAAGGCTATTTCTTGCACAGTTTTATCATTGCTCATTTAATCCAAAACACATGGGTCATGGAAATTATTATACCATTAAGTATCTTATCTAATATTCAGGATAGTTCATTTGATAAGATGTGGAAGGGTTGGAGAATATTTTAGGAGATACTTACCTGGGAGCAGGGCCAAGAGGAAGAGGGGTACCAAGAGCAGCATCATTTTATTTTATTTTATCCTGAGAGGAGAAAAGTAATAATAGGAATGAAAAACAATAATGCTGGAATGGAGGCTGCCTTTCTCCTCAGCTGCAGTGAAGCTAAATTACCAAGAAGCCTGTTATTTGAATTTGGGAGGCAGTGAGAGAATTTGCATAATGTAAAAAACGCCCCGCAAAGTAAAGGCCGGAGACCATTTAAAAGCCTATAGGTGTCAGTATTACTTCTTGTGTTGAGATGAGGACATTGAGTGGATGTCTATGTAAACATACAACATAAATATCATATCATATATCCTTCAACATTAACACATGTCTCATGAACCCATCCAGTGCTTTTATTTTTTAAAAAAATATGTTTAGGCATCCTGTTAGTTTCCTACTCATATTGAACGAGTGCCCCTCTATGAGGCCAAACTTAGATTTACAAAATATTTAGGGGTATGTGTACCCCTGCATCCCCTCAGAAAAAAAGGACTGCTCCCATCAATGGCTCTCGTGGAGCTTAGTGTCATCATGATCATAGCCGCTGATTTTGTGGTTGAAGGCATGGAAATCTACAGCATGAGAATCTCCCCCCTTATCCCCTTTCTATTTTATTAATGCATTTCTCGTTGCTTGCAGCAGTTTGTGTCAAACTGAGAAGTTGAGAGTGGAGAGGAAGGAGCACAGTTTCGGTGATTCCAAAATTTTGTGCTTTCTTTTAAGCAGAACCAAGCATCCATAGTACATCGCTTTCTGTTTTCTAACCACTTCCTCCTTTTTGTACAGGCCTCTGCTTTGATTTGTCCCACTGTGCCTGTTGCACAGTAATACATGGCTGTGTCTGCAGCTGTCACAGCGCTCAGTCTCAGAAAATACTTGGTTTGAGAAGAATCCACAGAGATGGTGATTCGGCGCGGAGAGATGGTAGATAGCTTGTGCTCCCAGTCCAATATCCCATCCATTCAAGCCCTTTCCCAGGGCTCTGTCGTACCCAGTTCCAATAGTAGCTGCTTGTCACAGAGCGCCCAGTGACCGTACATGTCAGCTCAAGGGTCTCTCCTGGTCTCAGTGTTCCTTGTCCAGATTCCTTCAATGTGACCTGGGAGAAAACACCTGAAGGAATTGGGAGAAGTAAGGAAAACCAGAGTTAGGCAGGGTCCCCCCTCCAGGCTTGAAAAGCTACTTCGTAAGCAGCCACACCATGGCTCCATTAATCCAAAGTACACAGATCATGTTAACATTATACAATTAAGATTCAGGACTATAATCCTGGGTGTAAGGGACAGTGAGCATTTGGGGAGATACCTACCTGGGAGCAGCATGAGGAGGAAAAGGGGGACATAGAGCAATGCCATTTTTATCCTAAGAAGTGAAAAAATAATAATAGGTCGTTTAAAAAAAAATCACTGGAACTAAGTCAGCTCTTCTGAGCTGCAGTGAAGATGAAAGACTCAGGAGGCAACTATTTGAATTTAGGAGTAGTGAGCAGATTTGCATAATGTAAAGCACTCAGAGAAATGCACACATTGGTAAATAGGCTCTCTGAAAGGCCATAAACCAGGAGCATCATTTGGAGTCAGACGGTTTTAGCATCTGTTCTTTCCCATGTTGCTATAAGAGTGTTGGGAGGAAGAAATTCAAATATATAACCCATTTCAATAGAATATCGTACCCCAAGGAGTGGGATGGAACCATACAGAAATGATAGAATCACCCTCCAGGGGTTGAAGGAGAAGGCACAGACCAGGTGGTCCTGCCACATAAAGTCCAAACAACTGGTCTTTTTGCTGATGCTCTTTGCTGTAGTCTCTGGAAGGAGGCAAATATGCAGATCCCTAGAATGGGGAGGAGAGAGGGTAAAGTGTGCATAAGAATACATTTATTTGTGAAATGTATTAAACTAGGGAAATGTGTGTATTGGGCTATATCACACACAAAAAGAATGATGAGGCTATCTTGCTCAGCTAAGAGGGATTACTCATCCTCAGAATTATCTGTGGAGAGTAGTTATGCATAAAGGATGGCTCAGCCATGAAAAAAATAAAGGTCAAATGAACCAATTTATCTCTTCCCCCTGACCCCCAATAAAGAACTTCAGTTCTTGTGTGAGAGAGGTTACATGCAAGATCTGAAATCCAGCTGCTCTTTTAGCTTTGGGGCTCTTTGTATCAAACACTCTTGTGGGACTTTGCAGGTGGTTGCAAGTCTGGTGATATAAGACGCTGTGGTTTTCTGTAGGAAGGAACATGGGGTGGTGGGTGAATCTGCTGCCACCTTTTGGACAAGGGGGATCTGGCTGAGGGCCAGTCTCAGATGATCAGTAATAACAACCAAACTCCTTTGGTTGTCCCAGCATCTGATTGACCTGCTGCTGTTGTTATGGACTAACAGGCCGGATGCTAGAATGAGAGAAACATCCCACCCTGAATTCCGAAGAGTAGCTTGTTAGTGCAATTCTAGACAGGTCTTCTGAGGAGCAAACTGCATTGATAGATTGAGACAGAGATATATCAACATCAGTCCAAGGCCTTAAAGTGGGTTTATCCTCCCCATTCACTCCATATTTTTTCCAGAGTGGGAACTGTACCTACAGAGAAGCAAACCCCATT